CTTTTTAGTTTAATTAAAGTGTGCCTATTAAAAATGTTATGAAACAGTCTGGAAGTGAAGTTAATGCTAATAACTACAATAATTTAAAACTATGTTTTACAAATAATCTGACTTCAATTGTAGCTAGGTATCTATATAAAAGTAGTTAGGTATCTTGAGTTAAAAACGAAACTACTCAACCAATTTAGATAAACTTTCTATGCGACCAATTTATAAGTACATTTTTTCAGATAAAATAGAAGTTTCCAAATTAGTTTATACCTGACGGCATTATGAAGTAACAAACAAAAAATTACAACTGAATTGAGAACCTCATTCATTTTAAAGTCGGTTAATTAACAAACGAACAACATACTGAGTATATCCTTTACTGACAATCAATGCGGATAAAAATATATTCCGCATTTGTCAGTATTTTTTTTTTCTATTAGAACTCGGAAGACAAGTATACAGATACTATCGCCAATTCATGGAAGAAAAGTCATAAAACCCGTTTAAAAAAAACTATTTCCAAACACGGTAACTTGAAACAGCTTAGTCTGATACAAATTACTGATTGAATGTTAATTAAATGAATAAATTAGCCATTTATGTCTAATAAAAAGCATATCTGAATCAGCAAAATTTATTACGAGTGAATATTTTACAATCGAACTTTCACCAAAACCTGATACTGATGTTATGAAATAGTGACAATGTTCTAATTCGGTGTGGTTTATTGGAAATAATACATTAAGATGACAAGGTCTACATCTCACTCTTGTAACTGCGCATAATCATGAAAACAAAAGATAAATTCGTTGGTCATAAAACTTGCCATTACAGTCGCAAACTAAAATATTTTCAGATATTAGTCACAGCAAACAACTCTGGAACCGCTGTTTCACAATATGTTCGACATACGAAACACATATCGTTTCGTGTATTTCTGGAATAGTTGACGTTTATTTTAGCATAGTTTTTATTTTTCAAGTGAATAAAATTCAAAATGAAGAGTTAGAATGTCGATAACAAATATAATGTTTTGTTAAATGTTTGTTGTATTAGTATATAGTACTAATTCATATTAATAGTATGGTATAGTATAGTAATGGAAAAATGCATTGGCAAAATAAAGGAAATGTTATTTCCTACTTCTAAAATTTTAATTTTCAGCGAGACGATTTAGGAACTAACTAAATTGGCTTGCATTTAAATACTATGGATATTCGTTGGATAATTGACCTAAGTTGTCACCAAGTTTGTGGTTCAAAAACTAGAAAATAAGTAAATTGCTATTACTTATTTAAAATCACTAAATAAGTTATTAAGATTATTATTTTCATTTCAAAATTCAAAACTTAGTTGGTGTAAATATGATCTATCTCCATAATTTTCAAACTTTATTAGGTTCAAGTAAAATAGCTGAGAAATATAGCAAGTAAATGAGACCCGAGGACATCACGGACGAGTTAGAAACCAGTCAGGCTGTAATTATTGTGTAAGCATGCAAATTATAATCGCAAAGCAACTTCTAAGTACCATTATTATTATGCTGAGAACTTAATCAAATGACATCCACATTAGATTGTGTAGGATTCCAGCCTACGTGACCGATGTATCGGAACGGCTCCTTTGATCGACAATCAATATCATTCCACGATCAATTTATCTTAAGATTTACGTTCGCATTGTTAGATTCTTTACAATTATCTAAATGATTTCTCTAGTTAAGATTTATATACTGATGGATATAAAGTAATAATGTAAATAATATATGATATATACAAATGTCTTTTATTATATATAGTAGTCTAGATTATGATAATTTGCATGACAATAACAAAAATACATACATCTACAAATATGCATACATATGGTACTGTTTATGTCTTTAGGCGCCAGTTACCACTTTCAATTAAATGGCCCTTCAGCTTATTTACCTACTATTCTAAGTCGCATAAAAAATATAAATGATTTTATTGATGCTGAAGATTGTTGTACTTGATGGAATTTGGAATTCATCTTTATAAGTGAAAACACTTGTACAAACAATTTTGTAGAAATAGAACAAGTAGGTTAATACTTCGGATGCCTAAAAAATTAATTAAACACCCAAACTACTTATATCAAATATTATTACTCACGCGATGAAGAATCTGATAGCTTACTAGATAGATATTTAAGTATTATTGCCTTTAAAATAGAAAAAATCAATTTATAAAAGAAAATTCGAAAGACTTCAAATTGAATTGCTTCATATACTGTAATTTCCATGTATATCAGATTTAATTAAAGAATACACTAAAGCATATGTACATAAGAATTTGTTGTGAATTAAATAAATAATAAAATATTATTCATATAACATGCAACAATGCTTACCTATACTTACGCGACTAAAACTCAAATACGCGTTGGATATCTTATTCAGGTCATATTTATGTCAATCTATTTAACAGTCTTGAAACAAGTGATGAAAAAATAAATTGTGTAAATGAGATCCAGAGACAGCAGACATTGATAGTGATAAATATAATTATTCAAATGAAGTAAGGCCTTTAAAGGTAAGAAATTTACTCGTCAACGATAAAAATCTGTACATCATTATATTGTAGAAGAAATAAACTTCTGTTGACAAAGTGACACATTATCCAATGATTAATTACTGCTGTATACTACAGGCTGGCGTCGGGTTATATATTAGAATCTTAAAAATATCATTCGGTCATTGACTCTATCCAAATAAAGTCAGCATAAAAAACAGATTGCTTTACAGAGATTGTGCCTATTATCTAAATAAAGCAACAGACCAGATTTATGATACGATGCCAAATGTATTAACGGGTATATACAATTTACGGACAATATTTTCATCAGCCACGCATTGATGGAACTTGGAGAATACAGCACGGCGTTACTCAATATTAATAAATGAATCATACGGCCAATGAACTGTATTCCTTAAATGGTGCTGTAAAAACGTGTTCACTTGCAAAAGAGGTTGGATTGTTTTACAGCAATGAATGGAAGCCATCACTGAGGGTCGTGCGATCTCTGACTAGTCACTTGAGCGTATCCAAAGGTAGGTTAGCCCTGACATAAGTTTCCAAATGTAGCAGGCTGCCAACCTTGTGTCTCTATGTGTATGACTAACGTCGTCCAACGTTCCCTGTTGTAATAATATCACATATACTCGTATAAAGATGTATTTATCTCGATTAAAAATATAATAAACAAAATTACTCATTTTTTACTTTATTATTACTTTCAGACTCATATTTTACAATATAATACACTCTTAATATCATATTTCCAAAAATATACTATATATTTTAGGTCCTAGTTTATTTCACTCTTTGATACATTATTTTGAAATTATTTCAAATTTATTTTAATATAAGAGATTTTAATAATATTATAATGTACGTAAACATAATTAAATGAAATTCGTAAACGTTTTCATTTAAAAAAGCCTTTAATTTGTTAAAAACTTTTTTGTTAATTCAACAAATAAAGTATTTCAATAATATTATAATATGATTTCATAACTAAAATACCGTACAAGCGTACTTAGGGAATGTTCTAAGTAAAATATTTACCTACGTTTGCTCGATATAATATTGACAAAAAAATTTTTTCACCGCTATGCTCAAGAGTTGGACAATCACAATTTGAATAACAAATTAACTAGCTAATTTACAAACATAGTCAATAACGGCTTTAAAATTTTTCTTTCCTATGGGATTATCGAATGAAAAAAACCTAATAATGTCAACATTTGTTTTAATATAGAGATATATTAATGAACAAATTAACAATTGAAATTCATCTTTATAAGTTTTCTTAATTCTTTTAGTGAATATATAAATAAATATTTACACTGCAAGAAGAAATTGGTCGGGATTATATAAAGGAGTAGTCAAAAATATAAGACGACTATTACCGTTCTAGTGAAAGAAACTTGTCCTCATTTTCCCGAGCATGTTTCAATCCAACGTGATTAGGGCCAACCCTAGCGCTGTCACACGTATTAATTAGGTTTGTTGTTTTGCAATATTAAAACGAATGAACCTATATCTATGTTCATTTTTATAAGGATGATGGTCTAATTTTAATATTTTGTAACAACCGTTAATATATTCCATTCCATAACAATGGAAGTTTATAAGATCTTTAATTTAACAGTTATTATGCATCTATAAGAAATTCATATAGATATCAATACAACCTTACTGATTGACCTCACTGAATTCATATATAAAAATAGGAAAACTATAAATTTTATTTTATAGATTCGATGCTTTCTATTAGTCCATTAAATCGAAAATGACACGGTTTTAATTGGACTTTCACAAGTGAGTAATCTTGATCACGTTTGGAAATATCGATCGTTGATACTAAAAATAGTAAGTGCTAACGGTTCACATTTACATAATTATCTCATAATAATTCCGAACAATGGCGGAGTGACAGGCAAAATATTATGTTGTACAATCTATGTTCGATTGGGAAACACGCTTTTGGAATGATATGAAGAGGATCCCCGAGGAATTTCATTTAAATTTTCTTCTTATTAAGATTATATGTCAACAGATAATAGGTGGTCATAACTTAAAGGCGTTTTTCTTGTATATTGCTTCAACTCTCTTTAATTTTAATCGATTTTTATTATTCCCGTCATCGTCTAACACATGGTAAACAAACACTTAGATAATTTATTTTAAATATAGTATAAACAGATGGCAGGGGCATAACTAGTTACGCATTTATTAAAAAAAACAGAGATAGTCTTTTTCAATAGATCATGAAAATAAAACCTAATTTTGTTGAAATTATTACGGAAACATTTTAAACGAAATTAGTAATAAATGGAAATATTCAATCACTTAATTGATTTTTGATTTGTACTAATATTGAATATTAGCAGACTAGGGTTATGATCGGTTCAATTGTTTGTTCATATTTTCGTTAAATTCTATTGAAACAAGCTATATTATAGAATTATCAGTAACACTTACGTCTGGATGTTCTTTTACTGGCACGTATACTTTTTCTGTGAGTGTTGTGACAATACCGTCTGGTTCTGGTAAGACGAGAGGTTCTTTCTTGACTCCATTTATTTGGAATAAACTGGCTCGTACTTTTGCTATTTCTGTAAAAAGAGGAATATGTATGTTAGAAACGTAGAAAACATCCGCTCCATTTAAAAATAAGAAACATGTCATTCACTCGTATATGACGATAATTTTGGCGTACTGCCCGAACATTATTGGAAAAAAAAGAGAGAAATAAGAAAAGATATTAAAGAGTAAAGTTTTAATACTGAGAAATTAATTTTTATAATTAAACTAATCACAGAGTTTAAAATCAATAATATTTTGAATTGAACTGTTAAATATTTGACAAATACAAATTAACTGGTTACACAAATTTCAATTTACAATAAATTATTACAATACAATAATTAATTTTTAGATATTATCAAATTCTTTGAGTTATAGTCCAATTGACAAATTACGAGAAACACAATAATTAACTTGATCTAAGAAATAATGTGACTAACGACAACGATTATGACATCATATGACAGTCATTGCTGATTGATTTAAAGCTGCACCTCCAATAATATGACGCACTATTTATCCATTGGTCTTCCTGATGCAATCAATCGACATGTTATAATAACACGTCTATATTTTAAATATAAATTTTAATCAATCATAATAAAATTTTGTTAAATACAGTATAATACCTATCAATCGGCATATACATTCATAATATATCTATTTTAATAATCAAAAACTCAAAAATTTCAATAAAATTTAGAAGTATAGAATAAACCACTATTTTTTTTTTTTTTTATACAACTTAGAATGGCAAACAAGCTGACGGCCCATCTAATGAAAAGTGGTAACCGTCGCCTATAGACATGAGCAGTACCATGGACATAACAGGGTATACTGTTTCGTCCATGATACCCCCCATACGTTGCCATTCCTGAGGACTCATATTTCCGTTATTATCATTGTCAAAGGTAGACTAATGGAGGCCAAATTAAATTTATATACACCAAAGTCAATATTTCTAAATACAGGTCACTGAATATAATCTGGAAATACTATATAAAAAAAATAGGAATAAAAACAAAGCCTTCTGAAAAACGTTCAAAGTAGCAAATTTAATATCTGGGTTGACTTACAACCGTTGCTTTAGACGAATAAGCCAACTAGAGAATGAATCGAGAGACAATGTATGATAAAAAATAATATAAATAAATCATATATTTTTGTAATTATTATGTATTTATTTTTTGTGTATTGTTAATTTTTGTAATATCTTTATCATTGTCTTTATATGTCTTTAAAGAGGACAATAAAGAGTTTTCATTAATTATTTACATTTTTGGAGCCAGAATTCCATCGCGTACAATAAATAATACATATAATTTATTTTTGACAAATAGATTGGTCAATATGGACACGACGGCTGTTAAAATAAATTTTGTGTATATAGAGAAATAAAATTATCGAAAGATTAGAAATTTATTTTTATTCCATGCAAATTCTTTAAGATTATTAATATATAATAATTACTGGCGTTTAAAAATCTTCTACTTAATTTTATTTATTTTTATCCTATGTGTTATTTTTTTGCTTTTGATAATTACTTTTACAATAGATAAAATTCAAGTGTTGTTCCCGTGTTTTCTCAAATTAATTTTGTCACTATAGAATTTTCTGTTTTTTTTTATTACGAAGTAAAACCTTTAGTTATTGGTAGTTTTTTTTAATGGGTAATAATGGAATGGTAACCCTACCCGCGCTGTCGGTATACACCGGCGGGGCACCAGTGAGGAGTTATTGGTAGTTAGCCATTTAATTTTCAAAAATAATGCGCACATGGCTTCTTTACGGCAGAAATAAATAAGACAAGTGAGTCACGCAAACTCTACCACTAGTTGATCATACAAGACGAGATCCATCTAACGTTGCTATTTGTTTAAAAATCTACTTTTATTACTAAAGCTAAGAATTAAACTATATCGTAGTATTTATTTTAATGTAACCAAAAACTTCTGTTTGAGGCTTCATAAAATAAAAATTGCACTCTTATACCTATGTTTAACTTATCTTTATCAAACTGTTACTATTCAGGAATCTACCATATTGGCTGTTTGTCAGTTTAGTTATATGTCTTAGTTCGAAGGTTTTTCTTTGAATGAAGAGCTATTACGCAAATGCGGGGACTCGTTTAATCTTCCTTATCCAGATAAAGCACTCATGAGTCACAAATTTATATCCGCCCCACGTAACCATGCGACCATCTGTTTTTGATAGGCGCCTATAAAGTCTTATTTCTTAACAATATTACACCGACTGAAGTCACTTTTATTTTTATTTCGAAAATAACATTTTCTTTTCTATGTATTATCTTAATGACCTAATTATTTACATAACTGAGTCACACTGTATTCAATCAATGGACAGGTTTTTTTAACGACTTCTACTACGTATTAGTAAATCATGCTAATTAACAAAAAAAAAAGAATGACCTTGCTTTTGTGTGAAGTTTGGTCAACAATATTGCAACAAAAATAATTAACATAAGAGAGTTTATTACACCTTTCAAATAGTCAACTCCTTGTTAAAAGTAACACAATTACTAAGCTTTTACTGATTAATTTACTCATTTAATACTTCTTTAACAATGTTTAATTAGTAACGTGAATCATTGTTCACCCTAAAGGTTGACTGATAAAAAAGTTATTAGCATTAAGTACATCTTTTGTACCATACATTCTCTCTCTCTCTTATTTTGTCAACTTTATTTAAATAAACAAATTTTAAAAACAATAATTCTACATTTTTTATATAATATGTTGCTGTAGTATTTCATCAAAAAACGATGATTAGGTTTGGGTACTTTCAAATTTTCTAACTAGCTTTTTTTAATGACCTCTTTTTAACAACGGCTATAATAATTTTGCTAATATACCTAAATTGTACATTGTGGTTTTAACTCAATATATATATATATACATAAACCTTTGAAGGATATTACCAGAAATTTTCAATCGACAAACAGGATTCGTTATAAATAAACATAAATACCACGCAAAATAAGTAACTTTCATCAAAACCCGTTGTCCATCGTTGGCCCGACGTCATATATATATTTTTTTAATCTCACGGTATCAAACGTGCGCCAAGCGCCAACATATATCCGGCTGACCATACTCAGTACATGGGGGGCTAGCGACAATGTGGAGCTTTCACGCCATATAGGGCTAGCAAGTAAGTAAACAAGCCATTAACTCACCACGGGACCTGTGTGATCGCCGATGGATTATGTATTTAATTACCACCTTCGCGCGCATATTAATGCGGTAGAACATGGTAGAATGTTCAAATGTGTTTTCGAGGGGTTGTGCAATAGTTTTTTTTATCTTTTTGCTTTTAGCTCACATAGATTTTTTTTATTAAATTCCGTTACTAGTCTTTACCTGTGATTTCGTTGCGTGACCGGAATAAGTTGTCTAACCAGGATAAATTTGGCTTAGTAAATAATTTTTATTTGCATACTTAAGAAAAATTGAGATTTTTTTATTATAGTCTTGATTTTTTCTAAGAATATAGGATAAACTTTATATACCTCAGAATATGCTAAATATATATATATATATATATATATATATATATATATATATATATATATATAATATATATATATATATATATATATATATATATATATGTTTGTAAATTTGTATACCTCAATGTATAAAGTTGATCATACAGGATTTATCTTCTTTTACCATCTATTGTTATCTACCTATGTATTACGAAATAAATAAATTAAATCAAATGACACATCTGATGTTGCTGGCATCTATGGGCTACAATAATCGTTTAACCTCAGATAGGTTATATGCAAGTTACCGACTTTATGATAAAAAAAATAGGAATGACGTCATAATCTAAACATTTTGTCTTCACCAGTTTATTAATAAATTGAGCTATTCGAACTACTATATACCACATCATCGGAGTACATTTTATGCCTAAGAAAATAATATCCAGTCCGAATCGGCCAGGAAATCATCATCATAAAAAATATTAAACACATATTTCAAGTACATACAAAAATTGATTTCATTATAAAATTAATCATGCTATATAATATCTTGTTTTAGAACCCAAAAAAGTCCATTTCCGTCTATTAAAAGCTTCAATAATTATTACATTTATCAATTTGACGTTCTGAGAACATTATGGTAAACCATGCAAGGTCAGAGTAAAATCATTTGAAAATCCTTTTGAAGCTTGTCGCAACAGACGTTGACGGGTGTCGAAACAGTAATGGACGTTTGAACAATAAGACGCCTTTGAGACAGCAAATGAGGCTTCTCAACAAAAACAAAGGCTACATAATAGAGGTTTTGTTTTGACGCAGGTGATCTTGGGGCTGTCCAACTGTCACTGCATACGTGCTGTACTCTGATTAATGTAGAGCCCTCATGTTTGACATGAAATAGTTCGTCGATGTCACCGTGAGAGACTTTTTGATTACGTAATACTCAAATTTTAGCTTCACATACTTCTATTTATGGATATTAAGTATATATAGGATAAATCCAAAATTATTAAAATAATTTTAAGGAAATATACACTGAATATTTTTCTAAAATAAGCGTGTTCTTTTTATAATTTTAGTAGGGCAATATCAAAATCAACAACTCGAAATCCCGCGTAATAAAAATTTCAATTTCCAAACTTTCATAAAATTTTTGGAATTGAAATTTTAGCGCAATTACACATTGGCTAAATCATAAGAGAATTATTTAAAATTTAATACCCAAATAATTAGATAATCTGCATAATGTAAGTAAAAATCAATTGCCGAATGTATGTCAACATATCACCTCAAAACGGTTTCGCCTATATTGCTATTATATTTTTGTTTTGTTGTGTTTGTAATTGCCAGGACAATGTTTCTACATATAAAAGAAAACGTTTGATAAATCATACGGAAAAGTACATCCGGAGCGAGCAGTTAGTTATATATTAAAAATTAATGAAAAAAAAATCGAATTCAGCATTTACTATAATTAAAAAAAAATGAAAAAATGTCATACTTCTGAATTATTTATTA